CATGTGTGTAATAAAAATATTGTGGTGCGTTATATATATAGTGCTTATATATATATATATATGCTCTATTAACATAACGTCGCCCTAAACGATCTTCAGTAACAGAATTTTTCTTATTATGAGCAGAAACACACAACAATAAATCACCAAACAACAAGTTTAAGTATTTAAAAACACAGCCTTATACTGTTCTTACGTGGATTCGGAAAAATAAATTCAATTCCATTTAATTTCAAATGTAAACTTATTTAACTTTTCTTCTCACTTTTTTTTTTTCACTCCCCATTCTTAAGAAGATTTTTAAAGAAAAATCACAAGAAGTAGGTCTGGGAAAAACGATTATATTAGCAATGAATATAAAGAATCTGAACTCTACTCTGCATGCATTTTAATTTTCTCGCATATATATTTACCGCATAAAATCGATATGAGATTTTAACTTTCATTATGTTGAACACAGTGCACAGGAAAAATTTTTCATTTATTGAGAAAGGATTCTTCTGATCAATTCTTTCTTGATTCTTCTTCTTCTTCTTTGATTGTTCTTCATTAACAAAGAAAAGATTTTTGTATCAATCCAAATCTTTCTTGAAGACGATTTTATTGAGATCGATCTTGAAGCAACTGGTATTTGAACAGGTCCCTTAAGTGTATTTTGAAGAGACCTGACATGAAAAGGATTCCAATCGATCGTGAAAATATATTCAGTCAATTGTTAACATAAGTTTAGAAAATCTCGAATAAGTGTATGTTCGATCGTTAAAAGATTTATTGTCAAATGTTAGAAAAATTCCGATTGATCGCGAGCAAAGACCCCCTTACTTAACATCGACAGACGGCGAAGCAGATTTTATGTTGAAGAGAAGCGATTTCTTGTCGATCGTGAAACGTTGCAACCGCAATAATGAAGATGAATGATCGATCAGTAACTTGATCGATATATGTTTAGGGAATTGCTCACACTGTGAACTGTGAATATGAGGAAATTTTGATTGAGATACGAACTACTTTAAGTTTATTTACGAATCGATAATAGAATCGAAATGGAGAAGAAACAATTGCATCATAGACCTTTTTTGCATAACCTTTCCTCTTTCCTCTTTCCTCTTCCCTCTGCCCCGAAGAAACTCGACTTTAAAAAAAAAAAAAAAAAAAAAAAAAAAAAAAAAAAACACTTTCGATCAACTCTGATCTACTACTTCTCTAACTTAAAGATAACATTTTAAATCACTTCCCCATTAACCGTATATTTGTACTATTTAAAGAAAAGATCAAATTGTTATATGTTATTAGTAAAAGAAAAATTCTATATATATATTAAAATTTAAAAAAAAAACCTTGATAAAACTATTATTGAAGTTTTATTGATTAAATTGCAATTGCATTAACTGAATTAATAAAAGTATAAAAAACAAAAAAAAGTTATGAATGAATGGCGGCAGATAACATTTTACAATTATAAATATCTAAGGATTTCACTTTTATTTATACATTTATTATTGAATTGATTAAAATAATTTTTCAAATATATAATTATTTTACTAAAAGATTTTATTCATTTGAAAAAATATGGATTAAAGTATAAACAAAGTTCCTATGCGATATCCAAGTGCTCTCCTTCCTGCCTTCCCATTAATCTCATCTTTAAAGTTTCATTTTAAATACTTTTCCCCGTCTGTTATTTGATTTTGTGATATAATTTGTTAATCAGAATAAGTCAAGGTCATCGCATTGGTTCATATTGCCTTAATAATTATTAAATTCTCAAATACATTGTATTGCGCGACTACACTACCTATGCTCAATATGTATCTCAAGTTGAAAATAATTATATCAGTTCCCTTAACCAGCCAAAGCTATCGCGACTTAACTTCAACATATCAACAATATCATATCATAAGAATAAGATCAGCAATCGCTTTAAGATAAAAATTCTTAAGTGCGAAGAGGAAAATATACTTAATTCAAATATTTTTTATACTCTTTTCTTTCTTCGAGAAGAAAAAAATGAACTATGACGATCGGTTATCGGACTCTCTTCGATAAAAAAAGAAAAAAAAAAAAAAAAAAAATTCTCAAAACGTGACAATTATTGATAAAATTATGTTGCATTTCAAATGAGTTGCGAAAAACAATTTCATGACAATCAATAAAGAAAGAAAGAAAGAACGGAAAGGTGGATACAATTTGTGTTTAATAAAACACAAGTAGGTAGTAACAAATCGCTTTGAAATTGACTTTAGACTTTCCATTGTTCGACTCATAAGACTTGCTTTGTTTCAAAAACTTACATTTACAGCTCGTACAGCTCGAAGGCAACAATAGTACAAGAATTTCTATGCCAGTGATAAGTTGTATTCAAAAAAGTTGTTCATAAATGAATTTATGATTTAAGAAAAACATGTAAACCCGATACGATAACCAATAACAGAAATAATATGCATTAGTATTTCTTCTCGGAAGAACCAGCGACAATTCTCAAATGAAGAAATGAATATTTCATGAATGTTGTTCTTAAACATTAAACATAATATATATATTTGACAATGAAGTGAAATCGATTTCCAAAAATATTCATTTAATCGCAATATATTTTAAATATAAAAAAAGACAACAATTGAGACCCAATTATGAGAATTTTTTGAATAAAAATTTCTTGTTATCAAAACTCTCGATTTATTCTGACGAAGCAGTACCGTTGCTTTAAAAGCCCCCCAGCCAGCACGTTATTGTAATCGAGAAATTGAACCTGAACGGTAAACAACTGTATATAGACTGTATATATATATATATATATATATATATATGTATATAGATAGATTTTTAATTCGCCTGCATTCCGAAATCTATGATAGATAAAATTTGATATTATACAGCAGCAGCTCGCTTATCAAAAACTAATAAATTCTATTTAAATATCACGTTATCTAATCGAGAAAGCATTTTAAACAGCAGCAGTTTCATGTTTTATGATATAAAAGAGAGAAAACACAAAAAAAAAAAAAAAAAACCATTTCACGTTATATTGAAAAGTGGATAATAAGGTCGTTATCTTTGCGTAAGCGAGTGACGACTTCCATTATAATTCATTTGAATTTTTTAAATTTTGTGATGGCTTGTGCACTTGCTAACCTGAAACGGGTCAACATTTTAACAATGGCCGGCTGTGACCGTAAAATAACTACTTGACCTCATCCTAAAATAAATATATATTATTGAAATGGATAGAATCGAACTGATCTTATTTTGAATTAAGCATGTAGTAATACGATTTTCTCATTTAAAACATTCGCATTTGCGGATCAGTCGTTTAAACAGATCCTGTTGTTGTGCACGTTTTGTTGTTACAATGTACGTACAATGAATCGATTTCTGCTCTTATTCAATGTATAATATTGGTTAAAGTATATAAGAAATTTTTGTTTATTTTTTTTGTTTTTTTAAATAAAATTTATTAACTTACTATACATTATGTGTACGATGTTCAAGGTTGTTTTACTGATATACATATACAAATATATATATGAGATGGAGGTTTAACACAATTCACATTTATATATGTATATATATATATATATATATATATATATATATATATATATATATACATGTGCACATATATAGTAAACAAAGCCACAGGCTCTCAAACAAGCAAGTAAATAAACAAACAAATACACACGCGCGCTAACATACAGAATTTACACATACACACGCTCATACATACATAAATTCACATACATACATACATACATACATACATACATACATACATACATACAT